ACCGTGGGTTGACAAAAAGGTCCATTGACCTATATGAACTTCTGCGTAAGGTGTCAAAAGGAGGTTCTACCCGAAGGTTGGGTAGGCCGCGACGATCGCGAGTATGGTCTGCAAGTGGCCCCTACGCCACCCCTTGCCTCAAGGTCGATTTGGACTTCCAATCCGACAATAAGCCTCAACCTCAGATTGAGGGACCAAAGTCTTATCCTATCGATCAAAGATTCTATAATACAAAACCACCACCTACGTCTCTTTGGTGTTGCCAGAGTGTTGAGTGATTGTCAGTCGATCACGTTTTCTTTTCTCCCAGGTTCCTATTAAGAAGGACTAGACCTTAGCGTCTACTAATTAGTCATGTAGGCAGGAAACCGTGCACTCGTTGCGTTGACCACTTGCCAAAGCAAGCACTTGAGTCTTCTACTAATTTATAGAGTTGCCACTATGGAGAGAAAGCGGAAGAAAGATACGAACGCAAGTTGACAAGACAAAACCGCAAGAAATCCGGGTGGTCTGTGTTGACTCGTGAGCGAAACTGCTATTCTCGGTGGAGTTGTAGCTCTGACATGCCTGTCATCGAAGAGAAAACTCGTTCTTGATCACTGCTGAAATGTGTCACCACGCGTATCAATGAATGGCGTCTAACTCAACCTATTCCTATGATGATGACGTTAAGACATAAGGCTTCTATAATGCTGATAGGCTGGTTTGATTATTTCGACGTCTTATTGACATAAAATTGAGAAAGACACGTAATTTGAAGGTATAGTTGTATTACCTTCGAGTATTTAAACCCCAATAAAGTTCCTCGTTTATTGCTACTGGCGTGCATGAACATGAATCATTGCAATCTATGGTTCATTACAGCCCTGGTAACTTTTGTCACTTTCGTCGCTTCTACTGGGCGACAGAACGCCGTCTACTTTCCCAACTGGTATCACAACACTGCTTGCTTGTGTTTGTTTTGGTGCTGATTTCATCCTCAAGGAGTATCTACAGTCGCGATTTCCATCCTCAAATGCTACCAATTTCCGCAATAACGCACATTCTGTACGCTTTTGTTAATATTAAACCTTCAGGAGAAGTGTGAGTTATTTCCCTCATCTTCTGGCCTCGGCTGACAACCCCTGTTGCTGCTCATTCAGATTCTCCGCCGACACATATGCAGATCTGGAGAAGCATTACTCAACTGATTGTATGGCCATTTCAATGTCCTCTCCGGAATATTGTCGCGGGTCTTTCCGGTCCTAGAACTGACTGGGAGATTAGCCTGGGCAGACACAGGCATCAACGTCTACGGATGCGTAAAGCAACTGTTTATCTTGAAAAAGACAAATCGCAAGCTCAGGGTCATGTTAAGCATTGGAGGTGCAACTTGGTCAACCCAGTTTGCCACTGTTGCTAGTAAATCACAGAGCCGCGAGCTCTTCGCCGAAACTTCTGTGATGTTGATGAAAGACTGGGGTTTTGACGGCATTGATATCGACTGGGAATTTCCCCGAGACAAGGTGGAAGCTGCGAGTTTTCTTCTCTTGCTCCAAGCCGTGCGACGTCGCCTTGACGCCTACGCTGCAGAGCATGCCCCCTCCTACCATTTTCAACTCAGCATTGCGTCATCCGCCGGAAGTGAGAAATACAAGAGGCTTGACCTCAGAG